GTTTTACTAAAGTCTAGACAGACAACATCCACAGCCTTTCCCTCGTCCATCAAGCGGGTCACCTTGTAGAAGGAGATCAGGTTAGTCAAGCAGGACCTACCTTTCATAAACCCATGCTGACTGGGTCTGATCATTTGATTGTCCTGTAAGCACTGTGTGATGGCACTGAAGACAATCTGCTCCATAACCTTCCCTGGCACTGAGGTCAGACTGACAGGCCTGTAGTTCCTTCCGGCCCTTCTTGTAGATGGATGTCACATTTGCTAACCTCCAGTCAACTGGGACCTCCCTGGTTAGCCAGGACTGCTGGTAAATGATGGAAAGCGGCTTGGTGAGCACTTCCACCAGCTCCCTCAGTACCATTGGGTGGATCCCATCTGGCCCCAAGGACTTGTGCACATCTAGATGGTGTAGCAGTCTGCTGACCATTTACCCTTGGATTATGGGGGCTTCATACTGCTCCCGGTCCCCATCTGGCTCAGGGTGCTGGGTACCTGTAGAACAACTGGTCTTACTATTAAAGACTGAGGCAAAGAAGGCAATAAGCACCTCAGCCTTTTCCTCATCTTTGTCACTATGTTTCCCCTGGCATCCAACAGAGGATGGAGATTCTCCTTAGCCCTCCTTTTGTTGCTAATGTATTTATAGAAACATTTTTTTGTCTTTTATAGTAGTAGCCAGCTTAAGTTCTAACTGATTTCTTGCTATTCTAATTTTCTCCCTGCATAACTTAACGACATCCCTGGTCCACCTGAGTGGCCTGCCCCTTCCTCCAAAGGCCATAGACTCTCCTTTTTTTCCTGAGTACCAGCCAAAGCTCTCTGTTCAGCCAGGCTGGTCTTCTTCCCTGATGGCATGTCTTGGCACATGGGGACAGCCTGTTCCTGCACCTTCAAGATTTCCTTATTGAAGTATGTCCAACCTTCCTGGATTCCTCTGCCCTTCAGGACCTCCTCCCAGGGGACTCTGTCTACCAGGCTTCTAAACAGGCCAAAGTCTACCCTCCAGAAGTCTAAGGTGGCAGTTCTGCTGACCCCCCTCCTTCTCTGTCAACAGAAAACTATCATCTCATGATCACTGTGCCCAAGACATCCTCTTACCATCACATCACCCACAAGTCCTCTGTTCACAAACAACAGGTCCAGTGGGGCATCTTCCCTAGTTGGCTTCATCACCAGCTGTGTCAGGAAGTTATCTTCCACACACTCCAGGAACCTCCTGGACTGTTTCCTCCCTGCTGTATTGTATTTCCAGCAGACATCTGGTAAGTTCAAGTCTTCCACGAGAACAAGGGCTAGCGATTCTGAGACTTCTCCCAGCTGCTTATAGAATGTTTTGTCTGCCTCCTCATCCTGGTTGAGTGATCTGTTAACAGACTCCCACCATGATATCTGCCTTGTTGGCCTTCTCCTGATTCTTACTGATAGACACTCAACCCTATCATCACCATCGTTAAGCTCTAAACAATCAAAACACTCCCTAACATAGAGGGCTACCCCACTGCCTGTCCTTCCTTGTCTGTCCCTTCTGAAGAGTTTTTAGCCACCCATTGCAGCACTCCAGTTGTGTGACTCATCCTGCTTCTGTGATGGCGACTCTCATAGTTTTCCTGCTGCACAATGACTTCCAGCTCCTCCTGTCTGTTGCCCATGTTGCATGCATTAGTGTAGATGCACTTCAGTTGGGCTATTGATCCCGCCACCTTTTTGGGGGGAGAAGCCCCAATTCCTATGTGATCTTCTCAGATGCTTCTGTGGTATCAAGCACATCAATAGCCCTTGTGTCTTTGCTGCTGTAAGGGTCTCCGTTTCCTGCCTCCACTGATACAGTAGCCAAAGGGCCTTGCTTGTCCACTATCCCTCAGACATTGATGCACCTCCACCAGGCTTATCTCTAGCAAGCCTGGTATCATCCCCTTCCCCCTTCAGGTCTAGTTTAAAGCTCTTTCCATGAGCCCTTTGCTAACTCTTGTGCAAAGATCCTTTTCCCACTTTGCAACAGGTGTTACCCATCTGTCACTAGGCCTGGTGTCGTGTAGACCAAGCTGTGTTCAAAAAAAACCCCAAAATTCTGCCTGTGACACTAGGCTCAGAGCCAGGTATTGATCTGCTGGCCCTTCCTGTTTCTTCCCTCATTGTTCCCCGCAGCAGGAGGGACTGAAGAGAACACTACTTGTGCTCCTGATCCCTTAACCATGTGTCCCGGGGCCCTGAAGTCTCTCTTGATTGCACTCAGACTTCTTGTTGCAACATCATCGCTGCTTACCTGAAACATCAACAATGGATAGTAATCTGAGGACTGCACCAGGGTGGGAAGCTTCCTTTCCACATCTTTAACCCTGGTCCCGGGGAGGCAGCAGACTTCCCTAAGGAGTGGTCCGGTCTGCATATTGGGCCTTCTGTTCCCTTCAGAAGGGAGTCTCCTATGACAATGACCCATCTTTTTCTTTATCGAAGCGGTTTTGACACATGCTGTAGGCTGGCTTAACCTCGGTGACACCTCCAAGCTAGATGACCCATGATGTGGGCTTCCAAAACAACACGTTCTGTTAGTAGCTACTTCAGAGACCTTTAGATAAAGCTTGTTCTTTGCAAATTTTTTTCACTCTTTGTCTATGCTTTATTTGACTGATTTTTTTTTTCCTGGTTTTTATAGAGTGATTTTTGTTTTTTAGGAGAACCTGCCATAACTTGGATGTGTACTTTTTTAGTATATAGCATAGCAGCGTGCTGCTTCATCACACAGACTCCTAGGGTGTTACAATATTTCAAGTGATATTTTTCTGTGCATGCCTTGGGACCGCATTCTACATTTACATCTGTGAGTGTAAATCACACGTGCACATTTATCCTGAACTTAAAATCCGCCCTTTGTGAGGCCCACACAGCAAGTCTCACTGACGTGACTTTTTCAGTTCTTTTCTTGTAAGTCAAATGGCACGTATGGCTGTGATACATGGG